GTACATGTCTCAATTGGCCTGGGAGGCTTCAGAATGCCGATCGAATTCGGCTCTCACAGGCTGATAGCGGCCGTAATAATTCACAAGAACCTTGGCGACAAGTCTGACATGAACGTCCACGGGCCTCCTTACACAAAGACTGCAGCCTTAGACTGTTGACGCATTCAAGCAGCTTCTTCTTGAGCCTCTCAATCTCATCACGTTTGCTTTTGGCGTCCACCTTTGCTTGCATCTTTGTCGGGTTATAGTACAGAAGCACCAAGTACCTGTCACAGAAATAGGTCGATTGGAAACGTCCATCCACACCTCTAGTCGACACTGGCAGCAGGTGGATACAAACTCCAGCCTGCCCGCCACGTTGAATCCGCTCAAATGATCCATAGCATTCTTGGCCTGCAGGCAAACACACTGTCAGAAGAATGCCTTGCATTGAAAATGTCTCGTGTCAGTGTCCAAGTTGGGCCCGGGCATCGTAGATATCGTCATAGACGACAAAGCATGTTCCTCTTGTCTCGGGGCCTGCTCAAAACATGAGCATAGTACCGGGCATGTGCATATTCTACAAAAGCCACAGTCCACGAACTCCCCGCCGTTTCCACGGCGGATTTGGCGGAGTGATCCATACTTGCCAAAGATGTCATAAAGCTCATCGGCACCTCGCGATGGCTCCCTTTCAATCCCCAAAAAAAACTGAGAGCTTTCTGACTGAGATCCTGACTGATCTTGTATGGCAGATTTCGCACATAGAGAATCCCTGAGTGTGGAACAGTGCAATAAAGCATGTGGTTCATCTCTGGCCGAGGTACTGTTGACTTCCGGCGCAAGTCGAACATTTCGCCTCGAACATGCAAATAGTGGGCCCAAAATTGACACGGGTACATGCCAGCCGAGATCCTCAAGCATGTCAACACATGACGCTCGTTCAAGGGATCGCAAACACTCGTAGGTACAGGCCAAGGTGGGCAGGCTACTGTTTGAATTCAGTTCACACCTTTTGCACATATTCACTTGCGGACTGGCCAGTCTGATCTAACAATGCAAGACGTGACACCACTTCTTCAACACAAGCAAACATCAGCACATGGTGAAGCAGCGCACAGCTGATGCCCAAACGTGCCAGCCAACCTTTCAAGACCATACTCATGAATGTGCAAGAATGTGGTGTTCAATTATTTCTGTAGAAACACAACTCCTCCGGCTGCAAGCAAGCCATCGTAAACAATCGGGGGTCCAGCCTGCCATATGCCTGATCCCCTTGTCCTCCAGCACCACCAGAACCACCAGGGGTCATGCCCATTGGGGTCGGCCCTGGCTTGAAAAGTGGCAAAACAAATACGGCGCCCAAAGCAGCTCTATTTCGAAAATTGTAAGTGTGCAAACTTAAGGTTGCGGATCGTTCACAGTCGGCCAATGAACGGTTTAGTTTCGAGCGACTGCACAAACACTCCACTGTCGCGATGGTCGCGATGCAGCCTATACCTCCGCCAAGTCCGAAGTCCATGGCTGCAATGCAATTTGGTCGCTCTGTAGACGAGCAAGAACACGAAAAACAACAGAAACAGGTAAGCAATGGACATTGCTTTGCACTTGGACACTCTGTGGGAATGGCAGCTGGAGCCCCAGCTCACAAATGCAGCATACCCTTGCCACATCGGGCGCCAAACGGCAGCGGCTGAGGCTGTCGCCCCGAAAATCACACCAGCATAAACCGAGGGTTGCAGAGAAACAGCACACCACTGCAAGACTTCTTTTTGCAACAAACTGGGCCTGAGACCCGAAAGCAAATCCACAGTGTGCCCCACACACCATGTCACGTGATGCTCTTGAAAGGCATCATTTCAAGAGCATCATGTGAGTCTAAACAGCGGCAAGCCCGGGCTAGGCCCGCCTTTTCGGCCTTTTGGTTTGTGGTTGGCTCAAGATCCAACCAGGTGTTCATGGCTACAGCATAGCACAAAAACACAAGCGAGACTAAATACAAGAACGACTGCAAGAAACGCACGTGTTTGCTTGCTGCTGCCAGTGCGCAAGTAACTCTTCAACACAGCCGAAAACACGCGAAGGACCATACAAGAGAACTACAAAAAATAGCGCGCGTCTGCTTTGTACGAAGGGCGCGTCAAGGCCAGGAAGCAGCCGGGTCCGTGCCAAAACCCGCGCCCAAGAACATGCTACCAAGACAGCGCAAAAACAAGCAAGGTCCAGAAACTCCTGCCAGAACGCATGCACCGCACGTGCTTGCTGCTGAGAAAGTCGCGCGCGCGCGAGCAAGCACCTACGAGGAGCGCTCGAAATGCACGTCGGCTCCAGACCAGACAGCGACGCGGATCATACTAAAACCTGCGCCCAGCACACAAAACGCAAACGAGACTACACACAAGAACAACTACAAGACACGCGCGCGTTTGCCTGCTGCTGCAAGTCTCCCTCAGTTGGGCTGAGGTTAGGCCAGCCAGGAGCCAGCGGCACACGCCAACAGCCCAACGGCGGCTAAACATTGGGGCAACACAAAACCGAGCACTGGAAACCTAAGATTAAGCCTCGGTGACACTAACTTGAGTACTGAGAATCTAAGATAACATCTTGGCATATCTAGCACTTGGCTGCGCCAGCTTCTGCGCGCGGCTTGCTCAACGCACTACGCTCCTTTTGCGCTCGAAAGTTGTGGTTTTGGAGTTGGCATCTGGCTGACACTGGCCGAGGCGAGCAGCGTGAAGCGCTTACAACTACACACCCCATTCGCTTGTCCGCAAGCCACGATGGACGCCGCAGCTTGTCGTCCCCGCGCAACACGTTAGGATCGTGCCTTCAAAAAAAAACAGCATCGTCCCCGTGTCATTGCGCACAGCACTCGGAGACGGCGCACGCAGGCCGACAACTCGGGAGACAAGTGCGGAGACAGGGAGCAATTTTCGTGCTGAAACAAGGGCCGGCAACACACCCAGCACCCACACAGCGAAAGACCCCACTCTCGCGGCGCAAGCTTTCCGCACAGAAAAATGAAGCAAGTGCTCGGCAACACCCTCGCAGCAGGGGCATTGCTCGCAGCACCTTGCCTTGCCGAGCAAATGGATAAGGCGCCACTCTCATACAGCAGAAGCCACTTGCACGGCGCGAGCTTTCAGCACAGAGAACTCCAGCACTTTTTGTGCTGAAACAAGGGCCCAGCAACACCCCTAGCATTGCCTCGCCGAGCAAATTTGGATAAGCTGCCTCTCCCATACAGCGGAAAGAAGCCACTCGCATGGCGCGAGTTTGCTGCACAAAAACTCAAGCTTTTTTTGTGCTGAAACAGGGCCCAGTGACACCTCCCCTTGCCTCACCGAGCAAATCTAGAAGGCCACTTGCGGCCGTTCGAGTGGCTGCAAGTGTGCCGCATCAATTCACGCACCGCATGCGACCTCAATGCAATGTCACGTCAAAAAACTATATCCGGAGAACACTAGATTGCTTAGGCAGCAATGCAGACAGCCAAAAAGCCAGTACAGTGATCGTCAAGTATCCGCAGCAAAGCGGAGACCCGCTGCTTTAGAAAAAAGGCTGGCGCGCAGCTCTTTGTTTGGGTTCTCAGGCTCCACTTGCTTTCCCAGCACTGAACCAAAAAAGGACAGCAAACACAAATAACACAAACATGATCCTGGATTCAAAGATCAGAAGACGTAGCACAAATTGCTTCTTTTCCGGCACCGATCAAGAAGCCACATACCGCAAAGACTTCAGTCACGCAATGCACACAAAGGCAAAACGAACGTATTTGCTGCCAAATGCTTCCACAGATATGTTCCAGTGTTTTCTGGCACCGAAGCCTGAAAATATAGCTATCCGTGCTTAGCTTGGCGCTCGCAAACCTGACGATGTATGGTGTTACAAAACATAACTTAGGATTCGCAGTATGTGATTCTCAGTCGGAACCATTCAACAGCACTCGTGTAAGCATCCTAGCAGCTCTCTGTCACACACACGCGCACACACACACACAAGCAACACCCTCTAACAGCACCCTGCAACAGCACCCACGCATTGCTTCGTCATAGCAACGTGCAAGATCACCCTGCACAAGTGCACAAGTCTACGCCGTCGCGCTCCCTAGCAACACCCTAGCCCTCTTGCTTTTAGCTGCGTGGGAACGACACGACATGCAAAGCAACGCCACAATCAGGGTTTGAGCTGTGAGCAATAATCTGCCACTCATTTCAAGCGTACTTGATGCCGCTCGCGATTTAATACCTGGTAATTAAGTCGTCCACAGCACTGGTTGCACGAGTTTAGAGATAGGCAAGCATAAAACAAATACCATGGCGGTTGGGAGATGTTTGCACGCAACACTTGGGTGTGTGTACGTCTGGCTAAGCCACCCCGTGTAGCGCATTTGCATGCACACTTTTGAGCATCTAAATCCTTCACATGATCCCCTACATGCAGCATCCACGGCAAGCAACAAATAGCCAGACCATTGGCAGGTGACATATTGGCACCTGGGTTGACCCTTGCCAGAGTTCTTGCTCTCGTGAATTCATCTGGAATCTGTACACTTAAGCCCACCATCTCATGAGCCATTGTCAAAACTCCATATGGAACGTCTGGCGACCATCTTTGCTAACCCATGCAAGCGGGTGGTTTGGCAATGGTACAGATTGACGCTAATCAAAGCGTCCTTGCCCTCAGTACAATGAAGTTTGCTTCATGATGTTGATGAACTCCTCTTCATTGATGTCACCTTTAGTCAACATGCGCAGTTGCAATTAGCGCATTGCAATGATGTGACAAACATGCAAAGACAGGTGTCCGTCTTGATCGTGATCAAACTCCTTAGAATTTGCCAGCAATGCTGGAACATATTCAGGCAAGGAATGAAAGTATATATCACAAATGCTGCATAACTACTTTAAAAAACACCTGCATGCCAAAGCTCGTCGATCATTCCACGAAGCTCTTCATCTGTTAGTTTCTCTCCCAGCTCGCGAGCAATGCGCTTGAGATTCCTACGATGGCAAAGCCAAGCCATGCAGTTTTCAATCGCTGGCATTCGATTCAAAGTATTTGCCTTTGAAGCATAAGCACAGCGCTCACAAATGCATGATCTGTCCTGAACGAAATCTTTCCACGCTTGTCTTCGTCAAATAATTCCTGATTTTGACAAAGCCTTCAAGTAAACTCTTCGTGAAATGTTCATTGTCCACGTGTCCATGTGTGCTGCCGTGAACTGCATACTGCGACTGTGTTCAACATGGTCTGTTGGAGCGCAACCTTGAAGACTGCCCTACTCCAAGACTCGAAGGCTTTGCGAATTTCCTCCATTGGATCTTGTGCGGCATAACGTTGAATCATGATGTCCTCAAAGGCTTCAAAGCCGATGTAGCCTGCCCGGAGTGCAGGGCGACTCCGGAAATTTCGTCCCTGGATGGGCCGAGGAGCCAGTTTCCTCGCGGTCATACCTCAGAAATGATGTCTCAACAGAACTGCAGAGGGAAGCCCCGCCTTGCCATCAGCTCCAGGGCTTCCGGCTTCTTGATCTCAAAGCCCATAGCTCGGATGGCCACCTGTCTGCAACTCCGATGTATGCAAGCCATGTGGCACATGCACCACGTGCACCAGTTGGAACATGCACAAGTATGCCAGTGCGCCTTAAGCTCATGGTAGTCCATCTTGCCAGTACGCTCTGAATCAAAGATGTCGAAGGCCTTGCACACGTGGACTTAGAAAGCTTGACGACAAACCCGTTCAAATCGAACAGTTGTCGACTCCGACAAATATATTGCACGTGTTGCATCACTCAAACATGTGACTGATTCCGAACAATGTAGGCAGGTGACTGCACGGATTGTGCCTGGAAGGCAAGCCGCCCTGAACCAAAAACCTTTGATCTCTTTCCTTCACCTGCCTCTTTGATCTCTTGGCGCTGCTCCTGCAGCTCGACATAACACGTATGAAAGTAATCGCAATCAGCCCGACGCTAAAGCCTCGCTAAAGCCTCGCAGAATGAAAAGGCTTCAGCATCAACAAAGCCCTATCCTTGGAGACGGAGCGAGCCGCATGAGCTCCTTTCTGCCTCAGACCACGATGGTCACGGCCATCCAAGGCACGCCTGGCATCAACTTCACACCCGAAAGTGTGTCAGGCTCGCCGTTTGTTCCCAAACAATGCATTCAAGAAGAAACAAAAAAACAAATTATCATACAGCATTTTGTTGTATCTTCAGTTCTACTCTAGCCGGCCTGCCAACGCTGGAGAAGGCCATGAAGGCACAAGCAACTCTGTTTGGTTACGGCAAGTAGTCTGCGTCTATCTGATCCGTGTGTGTGTGTGTAGGTACGCTTTGCCAATACATGCTGGCAGCGTAACGTGCCCGCAACATGCATATGATGTTAGGAATTTCGGAATAACTGGTCTCTGCTTTAAAGACCCAATAGGGCAGTGCTGCAGGTTCGGCAACGAATGGCACCGCAGGATCTCTCCAAACACATATGACACTCTCATACCTGCACTGATTACAACCTCACGTATCCACGGGATCATTTTCGGCATGAGGGCCTCGCGCTTCTGCACGATCCATTTCCCAGATCGTGCGTCCAAAGCCAGGGAAGCGGCTGCAACATGACCGATTTCGATGTCCGCATTGCCCAGTGAAGCTAAGTCTGCGCTTCCCTAGTCACTGAAAACCAGTCAAAGAAGCATGCAAAGCTACAAACTGCATTCGGTCACTATATGCCGACCGTTTCCGAATTTCGGACACAAAGTGAAGCAGTGAAAGAAGACTTAAAGCACCTCCTTCACGCCCCACGTCCCCCCCAAGAAAAGCAGATCCAACACCCGCCACAGAAGTCCGCCAAAAGATTCACAAAACCGATGTATGTGTGTGTGTGTATGCCTGTGGTTCTGGCATTGAAAACAAATACAGTTGGCACAAATGTTGCGGGTATCACTTGCAAAGAATTGTTTCAAGTCAAAGCGCGTTGCTCAACCTTGCAAAGCGAGGTTTCGAGCATTTGCTTTGATCTCGAAGGCACAAAGCCCGTCACTCTCTCACAGTGCGTTCTGTAGCAAGATTGGCACCTAGAGATATTTGCACCTCCCTTGAACGTCCCTTCGGAGTCGGTGCTGAGGTAGCCTCCAAACCACACTCACAATTTGGGCATGTTGACAGGCATGACACCTGGTAGCGGCCACTCAGATGGTGTCTTCACCTGGGCAAAGTCCGAAACCATAGAAACCCATAGATCATTGCCGTCCATGCCGTTACCATCTGTGCCATTTTTGTCTGTGCTAGCTCTGGATCTGCCACCCATCCTGCGTAAATTGCGTGTGCCATCCGTACTAGCTATGCCAAGTGTGGGATAAGCTGCCTTGCGGCACGCTCTGAGCTGCCTGCAGAGACCAGTGCCCGGGCTCAGCGGCACCTCAAGCCCATGTCAAATGTCTCATGCCTTGGAAAATCTCGGACCACAGAGGCTGAGGATTGCACCATGTTGCACCTATACTACGCAAAGTATGCTTCAGCCGTGGTTCTCATATGGTACAATGCGTGCATGTAGGCTTGCAAAGCGGCAAATACACCTTGGGCCGTATGCCTTGAGATTTGCAAGCCTTCCTGCACGGCTTTACTGGAACCTGCACTTGGAGTGACTTCAAAGAAGTCAGCTACTCCTTCTGGAATTCCGGCCAAACAGTGAATTGCCACAGAGCGGTGCTTACAGCTTCTTCGGCTCTGCTCCGTGCAAAAGATTACTGCTTGAAAAGGAGTCCGGGTCATCTGCGCGCAGCTCCTCAATCAACTGCAGGCACCTGAGTCGTTCGGATCGTTCCCACTCTTTGCTGCACAATTTGAACACAGCTTTGCATGTCCCATGGATGACTAAGCCACCGAGCACCCGACAAACAGCGTGCACATCTCAAAATAAGATGCACACATCCGCCCGAATTGTGCAGATCCAGGTTGTGAGACAGTCTTGACTGGGCGAAGGCTGGCAACACGATGGCTTGCAAAAGAGGTGTCATACGGCGCCTTGCACAAATCAGCCACGCCACAGCGCTTTATTATCACAAGCCCGCACAACAAGTGCCAAAAAGCACTGTGAAGTGCGAGAATTTGCAGCTTCGCTGGCGCAAACAGCTAACTGCTAGTATACTGCCGGAGGCTTCGCAAAAACGAAACCCGCATCGTTGCACAGGAAACGATTGTTCAACAAACTGAACAATATCAACTCAAGTGTCAAGAAGTATACACAGTGTAATACGCAATGCGCGGGATTCCGAATCAGCTCCTCTGCTTGGCAAAGCGGTGAGCACTGAATGTCTATTGGCACCTTGGGCAGGCTCACAATTTCATGCTGCTTTGCTCAAGCTAGATAGAGCAACATGTCAGTTTGGTTCCCACAGAAAGTATGACCCTGCCAATCTACAAAGCCCAAGCAAGACATGCTGAAGACATTGAGTGAAGCGTTGTTTTCATGAAAGCAAACATGAACAATCTGTTCATACAGGTATCTGTCACTTTCCTGCTCACAATCAAATAGACCAAATGAAAGCCAAACCAATCTGCTTGAGTAAAACACACGTTTCTTCTGACGCTGAGCTGCGGGCAAGCCAGACCAAATTTAGCCCGGCATCTAAGGTTTGAGTTGGACACCTGATCGATCGCTGCGGCCGTGCGGTGGGTTGCAAGGTCTCCCTGCTGACAATGACTCAAGCTCGTCCAGCCTCGGACTGTCGACTGCACCACTGCACGCGACACCTGGGCCCGACCCTCGCAGTCTCGAGCTGACAATAAATGCAAAAACCAACAGTGTAGATCATCGTCTACTTTCCCTGCAGGCAAGTCCCCTGTCAAAGTCATTTTTTGGTGAGAATATGGTAAGATGTGGGAAGCATATCCATACTCGACTACATAGTTGGGCGACATCATTAATCTGAACACATAAAGCCAAAAAGCGCTAGTCCCCCTAGATAGAGTATGCAGCCACGACTGTACAAGCGGGTCAAATGCGGTTGCATGAACCTGGCAAGGCGTCAGTGGGGCCAAGAGAGCATGCAGTGAATGCCAAGCCCGTGCTTTGAATGTCTAAGCATCCCGCCACGAGAAGTACCCGTAGCAACAGCACGCTGGAAAGTGACAGTCGCACAGCCAAGTACTGTAGCTACTGTTCATCAGCTGTGGCATGTCTCTGGAAACAGATTGGGCGATAGTGCTGTTTGCTTCAGATAGTATCACTGAACTGGTATCCCCTGCGTGCATTCTGCACCCAGCCGTGGCTCTGTACAACCCCCAAAGGAGATTAGCACACGGGACGACAGGGCGCAAGGACATGCCACCAGCCCAACTAGTTTTGCACACTGGCTGATCCAAGACAGGACACCCTGCGCAAAAGCAAAGGAAAGTTGGCAAATCTGGTGATTCGGATAACTTGAAAGGCAGTGCAGCGAGTGCCTGAAATCAGCCGGCTGGAAGGCTACAGAGACAGGTTTGCGCATCATATCAGCATCGAATAAACAATTTATCCGTAGCATGTATGGAGCAGCATGCACAGCTTGCAAACCTGGCTCGACTTGCCCGCTAAGTTCCCATGATCGAGGAGTTCGGCGCACATTTAACAAACAACCTCGGATGGTAAAGGCATAACATGCAGCCACACATCTTCCAAGTATCCACGGATTGAACCTTTGGTAGTAAGCTTGTAGCGCCATGAAGGAATTCCGTTCGATATTTTGTAGCAGTCCTCAGCGATCCGGCTCATTCGCTCTCCGACATGCAACTGACCGACGCTTTGAGCACCAGCTCATATCATTTGCCTGGCGCCTTGAGATGCCTTGAGATGCCTTGAGTCTTGAAGGGTTGCTCTTTTCTGCTGAGAAGTGTTCCTCTCGCAGCTGGGCGCCTGGCTTGCTGACAATAGCGCGGGCGAATTCATCCGGGACTTCCAGGCCGTCCTCCATCACAATTTGGTCGATCCAGCTTAAGTCCGGGCCCTGTCACAGCGACGGTCAGAATAGGCAGTTCCTATAGAGCATACGGGAAAGTCGTGAGTCCCGCTCTACCAAATCCACCATCGACTACTGATATGTTTGGCAAACCTGGCATGTTTAGATAATATTGAAAAAGCGTCCTGACAAAGCCCACATGCCGTTCGAGTGGTGTACTGGGGCCTCCGAGTCAGTGGGCTCCATGTCGCGGTAAAGGGCAGCACGCTGAGCGCCTTGCGGATTTCCAAACGTCGGGCATGGAACATTCGACGCGCTGGATGCGCTCGACACATGCATGGCAAGCACGGCATGCTCAAGCGCAAGCAGAATTCCAGCAGTCTACATCCCAGCCTTCCAGGCCACAAGTCAAGGAGCTAGGCAAGGAGCCTCAAATGTGCCCCTTGACATTGCTTGCTAGCATGACGAAGCAAGAAAACCATACCACCCTGCTTGCCTGCGCCACATCCGGAGCCGCTCATGTCAGCAGTCATGGGGTCCGACCTTGGCTTAATCAACATGCTCATAGATGCAAGCTGCGTCATTGAACAATGTACCATGTGTACCATGTCTCAGCTCCTGACAAGCTTGAATTCAGCTGCCTGCATGTCAACATGAGGTGCGTGTGACACACCTCCGAATCTGTTCTTGTCATGCAACTGGCAATGTATGATCCAAGTGGCTGGAGCTGCTGTTGAAGCCGCTGATGAATCCTGACAAATAACAATTCAGAGGCAAATCAATGATTCACGAGCATCGCTTCCGCTGGCCTGAGTTCCATTTGGCTATCTCCACCATGTTGCATAGACCTGCAACGCAAGGAACATTCTCGTCTTCTGGGCGCAGTACGTTGGAGTTGGCGTTGCGCAGTAATCATGGATGCTTGCAACCAATGAGAACACGCTAATTGTGCATCCCGGTGCCCCTATTGTCTGCTGGCGATTTGGATACCTTTGAATGAGTAATGTTATTCACTGAAGTTGAGACCAAACTTCCGCGGCACGGCGACTAGTTGAAATCTAACTTTCCAAGACAAATGACAAGAGAAGAGTACGGGGCGCGAAAGCGTGGTGGGGGGGAGCAGACATGCAACCCTCTGCGGGTTTCCGTGCTGCTCAAAAGTTAGGCTGATCGCGACCTCAGAGCAGGCTCGGACAATCGCGCTTTTCGGAAGGCGCAGCACTTGCGCAAGGAAAAGCACACGTTTCGTGGCAAGCATAGCATCTTCGCAAGGTCAGGCATAGATTTCGTGGCAGGCGCAGCACTTGCGCAAGGAAAAGCACACGTTTCGTGGCAAGCATAGCATCTTCGCAAGGCCAGGCATAGATTTCGTGGCAGGCGCAGCACTTGCGCAAGGAAAAGCACACGTTTCGTGGCAAGCATAGCATCTTCGCAAGGTCAGGCATAGATTTCGTGGCAGGCGCAGCACTTGCGCAAGGAAAAAGCACACGTTTCGTGGCAAGCATAGCATCTTCGCAAGGTCAGGCATAGATTTCGTGGCAGGTGCAGCACTTGCGCAAGGAAAAGCACACGTTTCGTGGCAAGCATAGCATCTTCGCAAGGTCAGGCATAGATTTCGTGGCAGGCGCCGCACTGGCGCAAGGAAAAGCACACGTTTCGTGGCAAGCATAGCATCTTCGCAAGGTCAGGCTTAGATTTCGTGGCAGGCGCAGCACTTGCGCAAGGAAAAAGCACACGTTTCGTGGCAAGCATAGCATCTTCGCAAGGTCAGGCATAGATTTCGTGGCAGGTGCAGCACTTGCGCAAGGAAAAGCACACGTTTGGTGGCAAGCATAGCATCTTTGCGCGGTCTGGCATACATTTCGTAGCAGGCGCAGCACTTGCGCAAGGAAAAGCACACGTTTCGTGGCAAGCATTGCATCTTCGCAAGGTCAGGCGTAGCTTTCGTGGCAGGAGCAGGACTTGCGCAAGGAAAAGCACACGTTTCGCGGCAAGCAAAGCATCTTCGTGGCAGGAGCAGCACTTGCGCAAGGACAAGCACACGCTTCGTGGCAAGCATAGCATCTTCGCAAGGTCAGGCATAGATTTTGTGGCAGGCGCAGCACTTGCGCAAGGAAAAGCACACGTTTCGTGGCAAGCACAGCATCTTCGCAAGGTCAGGCATAGATTTCGTGGCGCAGCACTTGCGCAAGGAAAAGCACGTTTCGTGGCAAGCACAGCATCTTTGCAAGGTCAGGCATAGATTTCGTGGCAGGCGCAGCACTTGCGCAAGGAAAAGCACACGTTTCGTGGCAAGCATAGCATCTTCGCAAGGTCAGGCGTAGATTTCGTGGCAGGCGCAGCACTTGCGCAAGGAAAAGCACACGTTTGGTGGCAAGCATAGCATCTTTGCAAGGTCAGGCGTAGATTTCGTGGCAGGCGCGGCACTTTCGCAACGTCAAGCACAGATTTCGTGGCAAGCATAGCATCTTCGCAAGGTCAGGCATAGATTTCGCGGCAGGTGCAGCACTTGCGCAAGGTAAAGCACACGTTTCGTGGCAAGCATAGCATCTTCGCAAGGTCAGGCATAGATTTCGTGGCAGGTGCAGCACTTGCGCAAGGAACAGCACACGTTTCGTGGCAAGCATAGCATCTTCGTTCGCAAGGTCAGGCGTAGATTTCGTGGCGCAGCACTTGCGCAAGGAAAAGCACACGTTTCGTGGCAAGCACAGCATCTTTGCAAGGTCAGGCATAGATTTCGTGGCAGGCGCAGCACTGCAAGGAAAAAGCACAGCAAGCATAGCATCTTCGCAAGGTCAGGCATAGATTTCGTGGCAGGCGCAGCACTTGCGCAAGGAAAAGCACACGTTTCGTGGCAAGCAGCGCATCGCAAGGAAAAAGCACACGTCTCGTGGCAAGCATAGCATCTGCGCAAGGTCAGGCATAGATTTCGTGGCAGGCGCAGCACTTGCGCAAGGAAAAGCTTTCGTTTCGTGGCAAGCATAGCATCTTCGCAAGGTCAGGCATAGATTTCGTGGCAGGCGCCGCACTGGCGCAAGGAAAAGCACACGTTTCGTGGCAAGCATAGCATCTTCGCAAGGTCAGGCATAAGGCAAAGATTGCGTGGCAGGCGCAGCACTTGCGCAAGGAAAAGCACACGTTTCGTGGCATTGCATCTTCGCAAGGTCAGGCATAGATTTTGTGGCAGGCGCAGCACTTGCGCAAGAAAAACACACGTTTCGTGGCAAGCATAGCATCTTCGCAAGGTCAGGCATAGATTTCGTGGCAGGCGCAGCACTGCAAGGAAAAAGCACACATTTCGTGGCAAGCATAGCATCTCTTTGCAAGGTCAGGCATAGATTTCGTGGCAGGAGCACCACTTGCGCAAGGAAAAGCACACGTTTCGCCGGCGCAGCACTTTCGCAACGTCAAGCACAGATTTCGTGGCAAGCATAGCATCTTCGCAAGGTCAGGCATACATTTCGTGGCGGGCGCAGCACTTTCGCAACGTCAAGCGCAGATTTCGTGGCAAGCATAGCAACTTCGCAAGGTCAGGCATAGATTTCGTGCCACAGACTTCGTGGCAAGCGTAGCATCTTCGCAAGGTCAGGCATAGTGGCAAGCATAGCATCTTCGCAAGGCCAGGCATAGATTTCGTGGCAGGCGCAGCACTTGCGCAAGCAAAAGCACACGTTTCGTGGCAAGCATAGCAGCTTCGCAAGGTCAGGCATACATTTCGTGGCAGGCGCAGGAAAAGCACACGTTTGGTGGCAAGCATAGCATCTTTGCAAGGTCAGGCGTAGATTTCGTGGCAGGCGCGGCACTTTTGCAACGTCAAGCACAGATTTCGTGGCAAGCATAGCATCTTCGCAAGGTCAGGCATAGATTTCGTGGCAGGCGCAGCACTTGCGCAAGAAAGAACACACATTTCGTTTCAAGCATACCATCTTCGCAAGGTCATGCATACATTTTGTGGCAGGCGCAGCACTTGCGCAAGGAAACGCACACGTTTCGTGGCAAGCATAGCATCTTCGCAAGGTCAGGCATACATTTCGTGGCAGTCGCAGCACTTGCCAAAGGAAAAGCACACGTTTCGTGGCAAGCATAGCATCTTCGCAAGGTCAGGCATAGATTTCGTGGCAGACGCAGCACTTGCGCAAGGAAAAGCAAAAGGTTCGGTGCAAGCGAAGCGTCAAGCATGGCAGGCGCGGCACTTTCGCAAGGTCAAGCACAGACTTCGTAGCAAGCGCAGCATCTTCGAAAGGTCAGGCATAGGTTTCGTGGCAGGCGCAGCACTTTCGTAGGGTGAGGCATAGATTTCATGGCAGGCGCAAAACTTTCACAAGGTCAAGAACAGATTTGCGGCAAGCACAGCATCTTCGCAAGGTCAGGCATAGGTGCAGCACTTTTGCAAGGTCAGGTATACATTTTGTGGCAGGCGCGGCACTTGGCATTGTCGGGTATGCATTTGGTGGGATAGAATAAAGGAGAGCGAGAGAGAGAGATATTAGCTAGATAGATAGATAGACAGATAGAAAGATGGAGTGCGTAAATGGACGGATGGATTAAAGACAGAGAAGAGAGGGATAAACTAATAGACAGGTAGACAAATAGTTCGATAGATTGAGTGAATCAATCAACAGATAGATAGATAGATAGATAGATAGATAGATAGATAGATAATCTGATAGATAGATAGATAGATAGATAGATAGATAGATAGATAGATAGATAGATAGATAGATTAGATTAGATAGATAGATAGATAGATAGATAGATAGATAAATAGTAGATAGATAAATAGTAGATAGATAGATAGATAGATAGATAGATAGATAGATAGATAGATAGGATAGATAGATAGATAGATAGATAGATAGATAGATAGATAGATAGATAGATAGATTAGATAGATTAGATAGATAGATAGATAGATAGATAGATAGATAGATAGATAGATAGATAGATAGATAGATAGATAGATAGATAGATAGATAGATAGAATAGATAGATAGATAGATAGATAGATAGATAGATAGATAGATAGATAGATAGATAGATAGATAGATAGATAGATAGATAAATAGATAGATAGATAGATAGATA